GTGTTCCCGGAGAAGCTTCCGGGAACATGATTTCGAACGAAACCCTCTTGGGCCTCCCTAAGGCCGTATTGGGGGCCTCCTGGGCCGGCTTTGGGGCCTTTTGGGCCGTCTTGGGCCGTCTTGGCGCTCCTCGGGGGCCACTCTGAGGACGAAGCAAGCGAGTATGCTGAAATTGTACGTTTTACAAGAGGAATGGGCAAAGTTCTGCCTCTTGAAGGCCCTGTTGGGGCCCTCTTCGGCCATCTTCAAGCCATCTCGGGCCCTCTTGGGGCGCTCTTGGACGTCTTGGGGCCCTCTGGGGCCTCGATGAGGCTGTCTTGTGTGCCTCTTGGGCTGTCACGCGGGCAGCGTCGCCGCCGTCGGCGTGGCCGTCGTCGTCGCCGTCGATCGTCGATCGGCGGCGTCGACTGTTGTCATCGTCGTCGATCGTCGTCGTTGTCGGTCGTCGACCGTCGTCGATCGTCGTCGATCGTCGTCGATCGTCGTCGTCGTCGTCGTCGTCGTCGTCGTCGTCGTCGTCGTCGTCGTCGTCGTCGTCGTCGTCAATCACCGTCGCCAGTCGTCGATCGCCCTCGAGCCTCCTCTTCTCTCCCCCCCTCCTCCCCTCCACTCCTCCTCCCTGCCTCCTCCTTCTTCTCCTCTTCCTCCTCCTCCTCCTCCTCCTCCTCCTTCGCCCTCTCCGTCTCCTTTGCGCGGAAGCAATCCAACAACAACTCACGCAAATCAACGAACTGTGGCCATCCGGGCCTTTTTGAAGGTCCTTTTAGGGCCCTTTTGGGGCCGTCCTGGGGCCCTCTTGGGCGTCCTAGAAGACCGGAAATCATGTTCCCAGAGAGGCTTCCGGGAACATGATTTCGAACGAGGCCCTCTTGGGCCTTCCTGAGGCCGTCTTGGGGGCCTCCTGGGCCGGCTTTGGGGCCTCTTGGGCCGTCCTGAGGGGGTTCCGTGAGCCTCACAGGACGACCCGTTTGGGCCGTCGTGGGCCCTCTTGGGTCTCTCTTGGGCTGTCGTGGGGCTCGGGGGCGTCTGGGGCACTGTGAGGACCAAGCAAACGAGCATGCTGAAAATGTATGCTTTACGAATGGAAATAGGCCGGTGTTTGCCTCTTGAAGACCCTCTTGGGGCCCTCTTCGGCCATCTTCAAGCCATCTCGGGCCCTGTTGGGGCGCTCTTGAGCGTCTTGGGGCCTTTTGGGCCTCGCTGGGGCTGTCTTGTGGGCCTCTTGGGTGTCTGTGTATGTGTCCGTGTGTGTGTGTTTGTGTCGGTGTTTATGTCTGTGTCTGTGTCTGTGTCTGTGTTTGCATGGTGTATGTGTTGTGTGTTTGTCGTCGTATTTGGTATGTGTTGTGCAGTGTAATTTGTGTTGTGCTGTGTGTTGTGTGTTGTGTGTTGTGTGTTGTGACTGCTGTGTGTTGTGTGCTGTGTGTTGTGTTGTGGTTTGTGTGTTGTGTGTTGTGCGTTGTGAGATGTGTTGTGTGGTGTGTGTGTGTTGTGTGTTATGTGTTTTGCGCTGTGTGTTGTGCGACATGTGTTGTGTGTTGATTGTTGTGTGATGTGTGCGTGTGTGTGTGTGTGCGCGTGCGCGTGCGTGTACTTGTGTGCGTGCGCGTGCGCGAGCGTGTGCGCGTGCGTGTGCGTGTGCATGTGCGTGTACGTGTGCGTGTGCGTGCGCGTGCGTATGCGAGTGTGTTTGTGTGCGTGTGTGCGTGTGTGTGCGTGTGTGTGTGTGTGTGTGCGTGTGTAAATGCTCGGGTGTGTGTGTGTGTGTGTCTGTGTCTGTGTCTCTGCCTGTGCCTGTGTTTGCGTCTGTGTCTGTGTCTGTGTGCCTGCGTGCGTACGTGCGTGCGTGCGTGCGTGTGTGTCTGTATGTTTGTGTGCGGGTGTGTGTGTGTGCGTGTGTGTTTGTGTGTGTGCGTGCGTGCATGCGTGCTTGCATGCGTGCGTGCGTGCGTGTGCGCGTGCGTGCGTGCATGCGTGCGTGCGTGTTTGTGTGTGTCTGTCTCTGTCTGTCTGTGTGTGCGTACGTGCGTGCGTGCGTACGTGTGTGTGTGTGTGTGTCCGGTTGTGTGTATGTGTGCGAACGTGCGTGTGTGTGTGAATGCGTGTGTCTTTGGGCCCAGCAGATCCGGTCACGCGCCAAGATGAACTTCACGCGCTCAGCACCAGCATCGTCCGCATTCTGTATAAGTTCACGAAAGGTCTGCGTGCCCGGAGGGTAATCTTTCAGCACGCGTCGAATCTCACCCGTGACCGACTGATCACGGGTCAGTACTTCTCCATCATGTGCGAGCTCAGCGCGTCCACCTGGATGGCCGTTCCCTTTCTCTGGAAGGTAGGCCATGCCAGTTGAGGTGCGATGCGAGGCGCAGCTGCCGAAGCAGCTGCCAGGCTGATCTTGCAAGCCCTGCTCGGGCCCGAGTGCCCTGGGCTGCGGACCCACTTGCCCTGCACTTCGACGACAAAAACTCACCTGCCGCTATCACAGAACGAGTGCGCTCAAAGTCAGGCCCAGATCACTCAATCCCCAACACCCTTCCCCTGGCAGCATGGCGACGAGGGGCGCCGACCGACCCATCATCATCATCATCATCATCATCATCATCATCATCATCATCATCAGCATCATCATCATCATCATCATCATCATCATCATCATCATCATCATCATCATCATCGTCATCAGATCACTCAATCCCCAACACCCTTCCCCTGGCAGCATGGCGACGAGGGGCGCCGACCGACCCATCATCATCATCATCATCATCATCATCATCATCATCATCATCATCAGCATCATCATCATCATCATCATCATCATCATCATCATCATCATCATCATCATCATCATCATCATCATCATCATCATCATCATCATCATCATCATCATCATCAATCATCAATCATCATCATCATCATCATCATCATCATCATCATCATCATCATCATCATCATCATCATCATCATCATCATCATCATCATCGATCATCATCATCATCATCACGCCCTCCGCGCGGTGCTGGTTGGGGTGCCCTCGGCCTCGGCGGGAGCGGGTGTTAAAACCTCCGCGACGTGCCGTCGAGCTGCGCGTCGTCGGGGGGCTCGTCGCCGCCATCACGTTGCTCATACAAGGGGGGGGGGCTCGTTGCCGCTGCGGAGAAGCAGAGACATCTCCCTCTAAGTGGCGGCGAGACCAAGGGAGAGGCCTTCCTGACGCAGGCGGAACGCTATGCGATTGTGATGTCGGTGATTAACCGAAACTGGCAGCAGTTCCCGCTGCCACACTGTGGGGAGCGGTGCCCGTTACCAGCGACATGGCGCAGACAAGGAGGCGGTGGTTGCCTCCCGGTGGGGTTCCCCAGCGGCCAAGAGAAGTGCCATCGCGGTAGCGCCGTACGGAGGGAGGAGAACAGGGCAACGAGCCGCCCTCGGCGGGGGGGGGATTCGCTTCGCTTCGCTCGCAGCTCGATGTCCCGTTGGACGAAGCTGTTCGCGCGGCCGCGGCCGCGCGCGCGCGCCCGAGGCGCGCGGAGGGGGCCACCCCCCCGACACGGGCCCCCGCCAGGAGGGCAAGGAGTAGAAGCCGCCTAGGCCTGGCGGGGGGGGATTCGCTGCTCATCCCAAGAGCGGCTGGACGGGGCGGAAGACGGGTGGACCTGGCGGACGATGGACCCCTCGTCGTAGGAGTCAAGAAGGTTCCCCACGGTGCAGGTGACCCAGAGGATGCTAGGGACGAGGGCTGGACCACCCCTTCGAGTTGCCCGTCTTAGTAGGGCCCGGGGGGCCATCCTGCGAGGTCAGTGCGGCGGCTCTTGTGCAGGAGGGTGACCATCTCGGGGTGGCGCTGACTATGAAACGGCCATGGTAGGAATGCTGTACCAGGGGCAAGTTGGTTGGGATCGCCGATGAGCACGACGATGGCACCCCAAGCCTAAGTTGAGGGTGATGAGGGAAGGGGTCGTTTGAAAATTGTGATCTCGCCTTAGCGCCGCGCACTTTCGTCTAAAAGCTAGCAACAGTCACAAGGATGCAGCACATATCGTTTTCAAATACAGCCCCTCGCATTAGCTTCGCGCACATCCGCCTCAAAAGCACGCACCAGCTACTGAGATGAAGGGCGGCGCCTCTTCGAAATGGGACTCTGGCCTCTGCGTCGCGCACATTCGTCTGTAAAGTTTCAAACATGTGCAAGGATGGAGGGCGGGATCCTTTCAAAATGGAGCTCTCGCTTGAGATCTCCTGACAACAGGTGGTAGCACAGAAAACAACCAGGAAAGAAAGATCGGGAAAAGCGCTGCCCCACAAGAGGGCTGCCCCAACCGCGCGAAACACTGACAAGCGAGCACAGCGAGACGCGTGCATTGCAAGTAGTCACAAAGAATCGCATCGCGATGGAAAGAACTCGGTCGCAATCAGGCTTCCTCACAACATGTGTAGCAGCTGCCCGGATGGAGGACGGCTCGTTTTCAAAATGGGGCTCTCGCTTGAGAACCCCCTCGAAGGTCATGACCCGAAGCGCAAGGTCGCACAGCAGGTTCACGAATTTGGGGCGATCCTTTTTCCACAAGAGACGTCGCTGGACACATCGCTGCACTGTATGCTCATACCTGTTCGGGTCCCTCACTACGCACTAGACGGATGCAAGGCGGCTCCTTTTCAAAGCAACCTCTCGCCTGAACGGCAGGCCCATTGGGTGGTGATATTTCGAAGGGGGCGCTTTTTGAAGCGAAACGGAAGCCTTGCATGGACGTATGGAGAGGAATTTTGGGACGGGAGGGTGTATCGCAGCATCGCTGATGCATATTGGGTCTACTCTGGTCGTCCTCCTCTTCCTGTTCCTCCTCCTCCTCATGATCATCCCGGTCATCAGCATCATCACCACCGCCATTACCATCAGCACCACCGTCGTCATCATCAGCCTCATTATCATAATGACTATCGTCCTTCCTCCTCCCTTAGCTCCCCCGCGCAGCGCACGCGCGCGCGCGCGCTGGCTACCCTTCGTCCTCGGGAGCCTCCGCGGCCAGGATGCGGTCGATCTCCGTGCGCGCGTCGAGGGGCTGCGTTTGGGGGAGGCGGGCCGCTGGCCGGCTGGCAGCGACAGAGCGGCGGAAGCCCAGGCCCCAGAGGAACAACAGAGACCACCGCCGCCGAGAACCCATCGCGGAGGGGGGGGGGAAAGACGCTCGGGGGTGCCACCGCCCAGCGGCAGGTCCCTCCCGATGAGCTCTCGGCAGCGGAGCGGCAGAGCTCTGAGGACTTCTGGCGCGACAGACCAAATCGAGGCGGCCAGCTTTTTCCCGCCGGCCTCCTCGGTTCGGGGTCTCCGGGGGCCAGCTTCGGGCCCCCAGGGCCATCAAGGAAGCGCAGCCACCTTGTGGCTCGGCGTGGGATCCCTCGGGGGTCTCGCACCGCCAGCCGCCGCCGCGACGACGACAACGACGACGACGACGACGACGACGACGACGACGACGACGACAACGACGACGACGCCGCCGCCGCCGCCGCCGCCGCCGCCGCCGCTGCTGCCAGGGCCGCCGAACGCAGCCGATCGCCGCGGAGACCCGCCGAAGGCAGCCGACGGCTGCCGAGGGCCTGCGGCGGGGCGGCCGGCGCAGGCGCCGGCGCGTCAGCGGCGGCCTCCGCCACGGCGGCGGCCTCGCGAGAGAGGCCTCGTCGTGCTTATCCTCGTCGTCGTCGTGACCCTCCTCCTCCTCTTACCCCCTCCTCCTCCTCTTCCTCCTCCTCCTCCTCCTCCTCCTCCTCCTCCTCCTCCTCCTGCTGAATCCGCGGCCCCGGCACCAGATCCATTTTAGATCTGGTGTCCACCGGGGCCAGGCGTATCGGCCGAGCGTCCACCAACAAAAAGGACTGGGGGGGTGTGCCCATCAAGGAGGTTTTTGTCGAGACCCAGGTGGAAGGCCAAAGACCACCTGGAAGCCCGCGACAGGGCACACCCCCAAAAAACAGCGACAGGGAGAGGGGAAGGAGGGAGGAGAGAGCAGGAAGGAACCGGAAGGCGGAGGAGACGGGCGCGCGGCGGAGGGGTGTGAGCCACCC